GAATAAATCTTAAAAAAAAAAAAAAAAGGATGGTATCTTTTGGTCAGGCCTGCTGTTGTGGCCTGTGATCCTAACAAATTGGAAGACTGAAGCTTTGCAAGACTGCTTGTATGAGTCACAGAGCAAGTTCAATGTCAGCGTGGTCATTTTAGTGAGACACTGTCTCAGAAAGCTGGGAATATAGCTCAGTGGTAGACCACTTGCCTAGCATGTGTGAGGCTCAGGTTTAGTTCTCAGTACCAACAAAAAACCAACAGTTGGAAATTTTGGAATATTTGGAAATAGGGAAATGAGGAATTTCTCTTAGTTAAGCACAGGTGATTAAGGAATATAATCAAATGGAATTAGTATATTAACTCAAGTTACCCATAATTGTTTAGTGGAGAATTTCTTGTAATTCTATATAATCCTAGTTTAAAGCAACTTAGGGAATTTCTCCCCTCTTTGCCCTAATTTCTATGACTATCCTTTGTGACATTTTGCATGTGTGGAGTATTTTCTGTTTCTCCTCTTACTTTTCAGACCAGTTCTCAAAATGAATCTGCTGCTCAATAGACTGGGGAAAAGTTTTTCTTCAGGGCCCTCTAGTTTATTTCCATATTCATGAATGTCCATAGATGTTCGATTTCATTATCTTTCATTTTAGTTTACCTCATGAATTTAATATTTTGATCATTGAAGCATTTTTCCTGATGAATTACCTATATGAAAAAATAATTTATGTAGACTTGCTTCAAAATTAAGTGAAGATATGAATTACAAGGTTAGAGTATCAGTGGAGCTCTGCAGCTAAGAGGACGCAGTGATGATGGTGATGAGGTAGTGTTTTAACTAACTGTGTTTCTGCATCTTGTTCCTTTGCTGAATTTTTGAAATGACACTTCCAAATTATGATGTCTTTGATGTCATATCAGCTTGCTTGTTCTCGTGACTCTGCATTTTAATACTCTATACCTGTATTTTCTTTTTGCTGACCTTCACACTGGAAGCTATATTGATAGTGATTGCTGTCTGGGAGGACATTTTTTGGGTGGGAAGATTACTGTTATTCCTGGTCCTTCTAAAAGATTTTTGGTTTGTGCCACTTAAAAAACTGACATTGTTTGTAGTTTTCCGTTAGTCTCTGCTTATTAAATTTTCTGTACTTTCTGTTTTATTCTATAGTGGGACCAGTCTCATAGATTGAATCTACAATCTATGTTGGTATTAATCTGCATATTTTAAGAGGCAAGTTAAATGTCCATTTTCCTTCAACAGTTTGAATTTCCTTAACATAGGTTCAGATTTTTACAACAATGAACAAAGGTTTGTTTTGTTTTGTTTTTGGTCTTTTTGAGACAGGGTCTCCCTGTAGCCTCAGCTGTCCTGGAACGGTTTTATTTTTTATTTATTTATTTTTTTAATAATTTCCCCTTGACCCTCAATATTTTATGCTGTAGAGTGCCTGTGGAAGTCAGACAACTTGTAGAAGTTGATTCCCTCCTACTATGTGGGTCTTGGGGATTGAACCAGGTTGTTCATCTTGACTTGGCAGCAGGTACACTCCCCGAGCCATCCTGCTGGCCCCTTATTACTGTTTTATGGTTATGTTGTAGTTTGCATTGATTTTTGATGCCCTGAAGAACTATAAAAAAAGACAAAGAAAATTTTTTTTTGTAAGTTTACTAGCTTTTATTTTTTCATATAATTTTTTTTTTGTGTGTGTGCATGTGTGCACCTGTGGTGTGCATGTGGAGGTCAGAGGACAGCCTTGTGGAGTTGGCGCTCCCTTTCCAGCATGTGGACCCTGTGCTTGGAACCTAGGTCATAAGGCTTAGTTGCAAGTACCCCTATTTGCTGGGCCTTTTTCTTTCTGTCATGTAGCCCACCCTGGCCTTGAATTCACTCTAGCTGAGGATGACCTTGAATCATGATCCTCCTGACTTACTGGGGTTACAGGCCTGTGCCGCTTGCCTGCCCGCTTATTTTACTTTTCTTTTTTTCTCCTGTGGTGCTGGTGATCAAATCCCAAGCCTCGTACTAATGCCAGGCAAGCGCTCTTCACTGAGTTATAGCTCCAGGATCTTATGTAGCCCAGCTGTCCTGAAACTCGCTTTGTAGACCAAACTGGCCTTGAACTTACAGAGATCTACCTGCCTCTGCCTCCCGAGTGTTGGGATGAAAGGAACGTGCCACCATGTCCTGCTTTGTTTTTGATTTTAGACAGGCTCTCACTATGTAGCACTGTCTAGCCTGGAACTCGCTATGTAGATCAGGGTAGCCTTGTACTCTCAGAGATTCACTTGCTTGTCCTTCCCAGGTGTTGGCATTAAATGTGCACACCCACCATACCTGTAAATATTCTTGACTAGATTATTAGTTTTTAGTTTTGTCATGTGCTCATGTGAATGAGAAATACACGAAATTTATAGGAATGTAAAGTAATACCATTGTTGAATTGCCCTTTTTGTGTGAGGTTAGGAGAAAAGGGGACTTTTTTTTTTTTTTGAGACAGGGTCTCCCCTTAGCCCCAGCTGGCCGGGCTGGTGTATGACTAGGCTGGTCTTGACCTCACAGAGATCCACCTGCCTAAAGGCGTGCACAACTTTAGGAGAGACATTTGAAAAACTGAAAAATACTCCTTTAGTGACCAAACTTAATAAAAACATTTTAAATATATTTTTATGTGAGTGCTTTGCCTGCATGTATTTGTGCACCTGTTAATGCACTGTTTGTGGAGGCCAGAAGAGGGCATCAGATCCCTTGTAACTACTGTTTGCCACCATGTGGGTGCTGGGAACTGAACCTGGGTCCTATGCAGGAACAGCCAGCCCCTTACCGAACTAAATTTTATAAAAATACTTTCCAACCAGCTATGGTGTTTGCAGTCCTATAATCTTAGCACTTGGGAGGTGGAGGCAGGAATATCAGGAGTTCAAAGTCATCCTCTACTACATAGTGAGTTGGAACCAGCCTGGGCTCTATAACAACCCTGTCTCAGAAAATCCAAGCCAAAACAAAAATGTTTCCAATGAATTATCTGTTTATCTATTTAAAGTAAGGAATACAATTTTATATATTTTCTTGTTAACTACAAGTTTTTTTTGGGGGGGGGTCTTTTTGAGACAGGGTCTCCCTGTAGCCCCAGCTATCCTGGAACTCACTATGTAGACCAGGCTGGCCTTGAACTCACAGAGATCCACCTGCCTATGCCTCCCAAGTGCTGGGATTAAAGGTGTGTGCCACCACGCCTGGCTACAAGGTTTTTTTAAAAAATATTTTTTTTACTTTGGTTTATATGTGTGAGTGTTTTGCCTGTGTGTATGTAAGTACACCTGTGTCATGCAGTGCCCACAGAGGACAGAAGAGGGAGTTGGATCCCTTGGAACTAGAGTTATAGATGGTTGTTAGCTGCCATGTGGGTGCTAGGCATCGAACCCTGGGTCCTCTGCTAGGGCAGCCAGTGGTCTTAACCTCTGAGCCATCTCTCCAGCCCCATTTAACTACAAGGTTTTATTGACTTGAGTTTAGGAGATGACCTTCGAGCTTATGCTCTTGAGTTAGGTCCCTAGGTGAGTGTTTGTTATATTTTCTAGTTTTCCTCTTTTTCCTTCTCTCCTAAATGAAAACGTATAGTTCATGGAGTTGGAGAGATGGCTCAGAAGTTAAGAGTATTTGCTGGGGGCTGGAGAGGTGGCTCTGGGGTTAAAAGCCCTTGCTGTTCTTCCAGAGGACCTCAGTTCCCAGCACCTACATGGCAGCTATTTTGCCCTCTTCTGGCTTTCTCAGCCACTACATACTTACCAATACACATACAGGCAGTCAAAACACTTGAGCAGAGCTGGGTATGTTGGCTCTCAGTGCTCCAGAGGCAGAGGCAGGTGGATCTCTGTGAGATAGAGGCTAGCCTGGTCTATATAGTGAGTTCCAGGCCAGCTGGTGCTACAGGGAGACCCTATCTCAAAAAAACCAAAAACAAAAAAAACTTTTCCTAAATAAATACATATTTTTTTTCCTCACTATGTAGACCAAGCTGGCCTCGAACTCATAGAGATCTGCCTGCCTCTCTCGCCTGAGTGCTGGGAATAAAGGCATGTGCCACCATGCCCAGCTCATTTTTAATTTTTTTGTGTACTTATTTTTACTGGGTAGTCTGGGCAAACCTTAATGTCATGATCCTCCTGCCTGCTTCCCATTGGTATTAAGGGTGCTACCATGCCTGACTGGACAGCATTCACCTCATGTGAATTTAGCTAAGAAACTGCTTATAGCTGTTGTGCTTCAGTTCACTTTTTGTCATTTCAAATCATCCACTTGTGAGTTAAAAAAATTGGAGGGTGGGATTTATTTTTATGTGTTTGAGTATTTTGCCTGCATGCATGTAAGTGCACCCATGTCATGCAATGCCCATGGAAGCCAGAAGAGGGCATGGATCCCTTGGAACTGGAGTTATGGATGGTTGGTAGCCACCATGTGGGTGCTGTGGATCCAGGTCCTCTGCAAGAACAGCCTAACTGCTGAGCCATCTTTCCAGCCCCCCACTTGTGGGTTTTTAAGATTCTGTCTCACAACACAGCATTAAAATCAGATTAGAGGCGGGCGTGGTGGCGCACGCCTGTAGTCCCAGCACTTGGGAGGCAGAGGCAGGCGGATCTCTGTGAGTTCATGAAAGGCCAGCCTGGTCTACATAGTGAGTTCCAGGACAGCTGGAGCTATAGGGAGACCCTGCTTCAAAAGACTCCCCCCCCCCAAAAAAAAATCAGATTATAGGCCAGGTGTGGCCATTCACACTGTTAGTCCCAGCATGTAGGCAAATCTCTGAATTTGAGAGATGGTCTAGATAGTTCAAGCCAGCCAGGACTACATACTACATAGTAAGACTGTCACACACACACCCCGCCCCCAATTAGGTTGTGATTTTACAGCTGGAGACATACCTAGAGGCCTTACTTTTTGGACATTTTGGCAGTGATCATATTTCTGGGGGCCTGAGGATGATTTCCATTGGATTCACATTGTTGTGATGCTGCTCTTTGTTTTCCTTTCTGTCAGATATGCCATAAAGGTTCTCAAAGCCCTCCTGTGTTTTGAATGGAAATCCAAATAATCACTCCCTTGAAGCCCTGTAGTACTGTTCACTTAGGACTGTGTACAGATAGTACTTTTCAGTCTCACACTAGCACTATGGAAATACTACAGAGATTCTTGAGATGTGAAGAAATGTAATTTGTTGATTTTTAAAAGTATTTTATTTATTATCTTAATTTTATGTGTATGAGTGTATTGTCTGCGTGCATGTGAGTGCACCTGTGTCACACAATGCCGCAGAGGTCAGAAGAGGGCTTCAGATTCCCCTGGAACTGGAGTTAAGGACAGTTTGTAGCCACCGTGTGGGTGCTGGGAATCAAACCCAGGTCCTCTGCAAGAGCAGTCAGTGCTCTTAACTGCTGAGCCATCTCTCCAGCCTCAATTTGTTAATTTTTTTTTTTTTAAATAAATTTTATGTGTATGAGTGAGTGCTTGCATATATGTAAGTGTACCCATGAAGGCTAGAAGAGGGTGTCAGAACCCCTGCTGGAATTATAGGCACTTGTAAGCTTCTGTATAGGTGCTGGGATCTGAACCAAGTCATTTTAAAAAAATATATTTTATTTATTTTCTGTGTATGAGTGTATTGCCTACATGTGTGTAAGTGCACCTGTGATGTGCAGTGCCCATGGAGGTCAGGAAAAGGTGTTGGATCCCTTGGAACTGGAGTTGCAGGTGTTTGCTAGCTGCCATGTGGGTGCTGGGAATTGAACCCAGGTCATCCACAAGTGCAGCCAGTGCTCTTAACCATTGAGCCATCTCTCCAGCTCCCAAGCTAAGTCCTTTGTAAGAACATCAAATGTTCTTAACCCCTGAGCCATATCTCAGTACCTCCCCTCCTCTTTTTTTGAGACAAGAGTCTCCCTATAAAGATAGACCAGGCTGGCCTCAAACTCACAGAGATGTGCCTGCCTCTGTCTACTGAGTATTGGGATTGGAGGTGTGTACCACCGTGCATGGCCCCTTCTTTACTTATTCTGAGATGGAGTCTTGCTATGAACTCCTGGGCTCAAGTAATCCTCTTGCCTCAGATTCCAACAGCTGGAACTGTAGGCAGGTACCAAGTAAAGGATCTAGTGTAGAAATATATCAGACCTTGCTAGTATTTTAACCAGGTTTAGGAGCTGTTTCCTGTAATTTCCGTATATTCATGAGGAAAAATTTGTGCTTTTAAAATTTACTGAGATTACTCGGTGATTTATACTTTTTATCATTTACAGTGTTAAAGACCTGAACAACGTTTGCTGAAGCCTTCTGCTGTGAAATAGCAGAACTTTTGAACAGGTAAGTTGGAAGAGAAACATAAAGTTGAGAGTTGAAGCAAATGAACAAATAATCCCCCGCCCCTCAAGATTGAAGCCAGGGTCTTAACATATGCTAGGTAAATGTTCTACCACCAAATTCATCCATAGCCTCCAAATGTAGCTGAGTTTCGCTTTTAGATTTCAGTTATTTTTGTACTGTTATTTCTTCTGAGGTTTGAATTATAAGTAGAAACTTCTTTGTGCCTTTCAGACCTTTTTTGAATCAGTATAACACTCTTTTTGCATTGATCCTTGTGTGATTTTTGTGTCTTAAAGTTTTCCTAATTTTTTTTGATGATAAGGAGCGGGAAGGAAGATGTTTTGAGTGTAGGTGTACTGAGAGGCCATGGCATTATTTTCTTTTTTTTTTTTTCTTTTTCCTTTTTTTTTTTTTTTGGTTTTTTTTGAAACAGGGTCTCCCTGTAGCCACAGCTGGCCTAGAACTCACTATGTAGACCAGGCTGGCCTTGAACTCACAGTGATCCACCTGCCTCTGCCTCCCAAGTGCTGGGACTACAGGCGTATGCCACCACGCCTGGCAGGAAGAAGTCTTAGGAGCTCTAGTCCCTTCAGCATTTGTCTTTGGGCTGTGGAGACTGATAATTAATTTGGTAGTATTGTTTTGGCACTTTCCTCATTGGTACATCATGGCAAAGATGTGAAGGAGATGGCCATATCCAAGGGGCTCTCAAAACCTTCTGCTTGGGAATTGATATGCACTGCTTTAACCATGGTCACTGTAACTGGATGCAAAACCATCCTGCAAGACCTGTGGAGATTTCTATTGTTTCTGAGTATAAAAACATGCTCTTCCTTAAAAAAAAGGACTTACTGTGATGATGGAAAGGGGTGGGAGTTAAGGAATAATGGAACACAATGAGGAAGATGGAAAAAAAGGAAACAAATGCCTCTAAATGTTGCAGGAAAGTACAAAGGAAAGTAAACAAGCAGAATTGCACACAGATCAATATTAGTAAATCTGGCTTTTCAGCAGAGAGATACATGCTATCACTTATTACATGAAGGTTTAGATAAGTTAACCTGTTAAACCTTATTTTCCTACTTAACAAAGTATATTCCAGGAAAGTTGTGGTAATTAATTAATCTAAAATGCCTAAACAATATGGCATTTAGTAGTCTCTCAATGAATAACTTTTATGTTATTACTATGTAAATAGGTAAAATTTGACTACAGATTTTATCTTTTAAACAAGTTCAATTTTTTTGCTTCTATTTTTGCTTTTTGGTCCTTTTTAAAAAATACTTTATTTTAATTTTTGTTTTATGTGTATGAGTGTATTGCCTGCGTGTATGTGGGTGTACCCGTGTCATGCAGTGCCTTGGCGGTCAGAAGAGGCCATCGAATTCCCCTGGAACTGGAGTTAAGGATGGTTCTTAGCCACCATGTGGGTGTTGGGAATCGAACCCTGGTCCTTTGCAAGAGCAGTCAGTGCTTTTAATCACAGAGTCATCTCTCCAGCACAGTTTTTTGGTCTTTTTGAGACAGGGTCTCCTTGTAGCCCCTGCTGGCCTAGAACTCCCTGTGTCTAGGCTGGCTTCTCCCAAGTGCTGGATTTAGAGGTATATAGCCCTGGGCCACCAACTTTTTAAAATTGTTTTTTTGAGTCAAAGTTTCACTGTGTTCAATTTGTGGAGATCTTTTGGCCTCTTCCTCCTGAAAGCTGGGATTAAGGGCATGCACTACATTAAAAATAATTTAATTTTTAAAAAAAAATAATTTCCATTGACCTACCTTTAATTTTGTTGATTACATCTCTCTTTTTTGTTTGTCTTTTTGAGACAGGGTCCCCCTGTAGCCCCAGCTGTCCTGGAACTCACTATGTACACCATGCTGGCCTTGAACTCACAGAGGTCCATCTGCCTTTGCCTCCCAAGTCCTGGAACTACAGGCGTGCACCACCACGCCCGGCCTAAAATATTAATTTTTTTTTGTATTTTGATTTTTGAAAGCCAAGTTACTTTGCAAAGCAGGCCGTCTTGGAAATTGCTGTGTAGCCGCAAACACATGGTTCTGCTTTCGCCTCCTGGAGTGCTGGGATTAAAATTGCCTACCACCATGCCCAGTTTTAAAATTTTACCTTTTAAATTAATTTTTTTTTTTTTTTTTTATGTGTATGAATGTTTTGCCTGCTTGTATGTTTAGTGCACCTGGGTTGTGTAGTGACCATGGAAGCCAGAAGAGGGCATCAGATCTCTTGGAATTGGAGTTACAGACAGTTGTTAGCCACCATGTGGGTGCTGGTTCCTCTGCAAGAGTGACCAGTGCTTTTAACTGCTGAGTAAGTATTGGGGCTGGAGAGATGACTCAGTCATTTAGAGCACCGACTCTGAGGATCTGGGTTTGATTCCTAGCACCCACAGGGCAGCTAATAGCTGTCCAGAACTTCAGTTCCAGGGGATCCAACACCTTCTGACCTCCCGCTGGCACTGCATGACACGGGTGTGCTACCTACATGGCAAGCAGTACACTCATACACATAAAATAAAAATAATATATAAATTAATATTAAAAAGAAAAACAAAACAAGTAAATAGTATCACATTTTAGATCTTGGTGATAGTCTCAGTGTTTTTTTTTTTGTTGTTGTTGTTGTTTTGTTTTTTTGAGACAGGGTCTCCCAGCAGCTACAGCTGGCATGGAACTCACTATGTAGATTGGCCTCCAACTCACAGAGATCTGCCTGCCTCTGCCTCCTGGGATTAAAGGCATGTGCCACCACGCCTTGCAGTCTCAGTGATATTTTATGACCCCTGATAGGTTTTCTAAGGTGTGTATATGTATGTGAATGAATGTGTTTGATTTTTTTGGTCTTTTTGAGATAGGGTCTTCTTGTAGCCCCAGCCGACCTGGAACTCTCTATGTAGACCAGGCTGGCCTTGAATTCACAGAGATCTGTCTGCCTCTGCCTCCTGAGTGTTGGGACTAAAGGTATGTGCTGCCATGCCCAGCTTTTTTTTTTTTTTTTTTTTAAAGCTAGGGTCTTCTTATAGCCCCAGCTGGCCTGGATCTTTCTATGTAGATCAGGCTGGCTTTGATCTCACAGAGTTCCACCTCTGCCTCCTAAGTGTTGGGATTAAAGGCGTGTGCCATCATGCCTGTCTTAATTTCCATTTATGAGGCAGGATCATGCTATGTGCCTCTCAAATTGGATTGGGACTCACTGTGTAGACCAGCTTGGTCTTGAACTTGCTATGATCCTCCTGCTTCTTTTTCTTGACTGCTGGGATTACAGATATATCCTACCATGCCTAGCTGTTTGTTTCAAATTTATTATTTTTTTACTTGTCATTTTTTCTCCTCTATCTCTGTGATAATGCTAATTTTCCAATGCTGGGGATCAGACTCAGGGCTTCCTACATGCTAGGCAAACAGTTTACTATTGAGCTATTTCTTCCGTCCATTTTGATTTTAAGACTTGCCTTAGTCTGACTTCTGCTGCTGTAACAGAATCCTCAGGTGTGTACCACTGCAAGTTTATTTGGCCCATAGTTTGGCATGGAAAGTTCAAGAGCATGGCACCAGCATCTGGCATAGGCCGAGGGTGAGAGAGCGTAAAGGGGGTGGGGTGCAGGTTTGAGCTTTGCTTTTATGGTAACTCACATTAGTGATAGCTAACCATATCCCTGGTTAATGGCATTAATTCATTAATGAGAGCAGAGCCCTCATGACTTAATCACCTCTAATTACTCTTGGATTAGGGAAGAACTTTGGGGGATGCATTCAAACTATAACAGGATCTGTTTACCTTCAAAAAGTTATTTAAGAACCTGCTGGGCGTGGTGGCACATGCCTTTAATCCCAGTACTTGGGAGGCAGAGGCAGGAGGATTTCTGAGTTTGAGGCCAACTTGGTCTGCATAATGAGTTCTAGGCCAGCTGGGGCTACAGGGAGACTCAAAAAAAGACCAAAAAAGTTATTGAAGAACTTAACAAAGTTTCTCAATTGCTTTTCTTGAAGTAATAGTTTCTCTGTTCTTTTTGAAAAAGGATCCAAGATGGTTAACTGTGTGTGAGCTGTACTTTCAAATTAAAATGGTCTTCCATGGGGGAAAACCGAAAAAACAACTTGTTGAGCTTGCAGTCCTGAGTAATTATGTGTCTCTTTGTGACACTGGCATGCAGAAGTGCTTTATACTTATTTCCCATTTCATCAAACCTCAATTGTTTTAAACATGTACCCACGAATCAGGTTTAATATAGTTAGTTTTTTTGTTTTGTTTTGTTTTGTTTTTATTTGTCCAAGACACTTAAGTAAAAGTGCCGTTTCCCCTCTTGTGTGAGAATATGCACATGGCTGTGAAGAATGGAATAACTACTAGTGTGGTTCAGTGTCATCAACTTGAATGATGTTAGAGTACCAACAGCTTACCCCACATTGTGTGGTTAGTACAAGTGCTGGCACAGAAAAAGGCCAATATTTTAATAATACTATGTTGGAAAATATTTTTTTTTTTTTTGGTCTTTTTGAGACAGGGTCTCCCTGGAGCCCCAGCTGTCCTGGAACTCACTTATGTAGACCAGGCTGGCCTTGAACTCATAGAGATCCCCCTGCCTCTGCCTCCTGAGTGTTGGGATTAAAGGCGTGTGCCACCACACCCAGCCCTGGAAAATAATTTTGATATTACAGATGTTCATTGTTACAGTTTATACATTATATTGAAATCTTTATTTTATTTTGAGATGGGGCTCGTGTATCCCAGGCTGGCCTTGCACCTGCTATATAGCTGAGGGTAACCTTGAACTTATGATTTTCCTGCTTCTATCCCCCAAGTGGTGGGATTACAAGTGTGCACTACTATATCTAATTTTATGTGGTGCTAGAAATTGATCCAGGGCTTCATGCCTGATAGGTGAGCACTCTAACAACTGAACTACATCTCTAGTCCATACATTAAGTTTTTAAAAATAACTTTAAAGTTGTTTGAATTGCAAGACACATATCATTGAGGTTAAATTTTT